CACCATGTACACAGCACCAGTTCAACTACACGTAGATAGTGTGACATGTCTTGTACACACTACCAGAGCAGCTACACGTGGATAACGTGACATGACTTGCCACCATGTACACAGCACCAGTTCAGCTACACGTAGATAGTGTGACATGAGTTGCCACCATGTACACAGCACCAGTTCAGCTACACGTAGATAGTGTGACATGTCTTGTACACACTACCAGTGCAGCTACACATGGATAGTGTGATATGTCTTGTACACACCACCAGTTTAGCTACACATAGATAGTGTGACATGACTTGCCACCATGTACACAGCACCAGTTCAGCTACACGTAGATAGTGTGACATGTCTTGTACACACTGCCAGTTAAGCTACACCTGGATAGTGTGACATTACTTGCCACCATGTACACAGCACCAGTTAAGCTACACCTGGATAGTGTGACATGACTTGCCACCATGTACACAGCACCAGTGCTGCTACACGTAGATACTGGGACATGTCTTGTACACACCACCAGTTAAGCTACACCTGGATAGTGTGACATGAATTGCCACTATATACACAGCACCAGTGCTGCTACACGTGGATAGTGTGACAAGTCGTGTACACACTACCAGTTAAGCTATACCTGGATAGTGTGACATGACTTGCCACCATGTACACAGCACCAGTGTTGCTACACGTAGATACTGTGACATGTCTTGTACACACCACCAGTTAAGTTACACCTGGATAGGGTGACATGACGTGCCACCATATACACAATACCAGTGCAGCTACACGTGGATAACGTGACATGACTTGTACACACTACCAGTTCAGCTGCACGTAGATAGTGTGACATGACTTGCCACCATGCACACAGCACCAGTTCAGCTACACGTAGATAGTGTCACATGTCTTGTACACACTACCAGTTAAGCTACACCTTGATAGTGAGACATGACTTGCCACCATGTACACATCACCAGTTCAGCTACATGTAGATAGCGTGACAGGCCTCGTACACAGTACACAGCACAAGTTCAGCTATACGTAGATACCGTGACAGGCCTCGTACACAGTACAAAGCACCAGTTCAGCTACACGTAGATAGTGTGACATGAGTTGCCACCATGTACACAGCACCAGTTCAGCTACACGTAGATAGTGTGACATGTCTTGTACACACTACCAGTCCAGATGCACGTAGATAGTGTGCCATGACTTGCCACCATGTACACAGCACCAGTTCAACTACACGTAGATAGTGTGACATGTCTTGTACACACTACCAGAGCAGCTACACGTGGATAACGTGACATGACTTGCCACCATGTACACAGCACCAGTTCAGCTACACGTAGATAGTGTGACATGAGTTGCCACCATGTACACAGCACCAGTTCAGCTACACGTAGATAGTGTGACATGTCTTGTACACACTACCAGAGCAGCTACACGTGGATAACGTGACATGACTTGCCACCATGTACACAGCACCAGTTCAGCTACACGTAGATTGTGTGACATACATTGTACACAGTACACAGCACCAGTTCAGCTACACGTGGATAGTGTGACATGCCTTGTACACAGTACACGACACCAGTTCAGCTACATGTAGATAGTGTGACTGGCCACCTACACACCACAATTAGCTACACGTAGATAGTGTGATATGTCTTGTACACAGTGCACAGCACCAGTTCAGCTACACATAGATAGCGTGACAGGCCTTGTTCACAGTACACAGCAACAATTCAGCTATACGTGTATAGTGTGATATGCCTTGTACACAGTACACAGCACCAGTTCATCCAAACGTGTAGAGTGTGACATGCCTTGCTGCCATGTACACAGCACCAGTTCAGCTACAGGTGTATAGTGTGACATGCCTTGTACATAGTACACAGCACCAGTTGATCCAAGCGTGTAGAGAGTGACATGCCTTGCTAACATTTACACAGCACCAGTTCAGCTACACGTGGATAGTGTGATATTCCTTGCTGTCAAGTACACAGCACCAGTTCAGCTACACGTAGATAGTGTCACTGGCCTTGTACACAGTACACATCGCCAGTTCAGCTACACATGGATTGTATGACATGTCTTGCTACCATGTACACAGCACCAGTTCAGCTACACGTGGAAAGTGTGACATACATTGTAGACAGTACACAGCACAAGTTCAACTACACGTAGATAGTGTGACATGATTTGGTACCATGTGAACAGCACCAGATTAGCTTCTTGTAGATAGTGTGAAATGTCTTGTACACAGTACACAGCACCAGTTCAGCTACACGTAGATAGTGTGACATGACTTGTTCACAGTACACAGCACCAGTTCAGCTACACGTAGATAGTGTGACATGACTAGTTCACAGTACACAGCACCAGTTCAGCTACACGTAGATAGTGTTACATGCCTTGTACACAGTACACAGCACCAGTTCAGCAGCACGTAGATAGCGTGACATATCTTGTACACAGTGCACAGCACCAGTTCAGCTACTCGTGGATAGTGTGAGATGACTTGCTACCATGAACACAGCACCAGTTCAGCTGCACGTGGATAGTGTGACATCCCTTGTACACAACACCAGTGCAGCTACAAGTGCATAGTGTGATATGCCTTGTACATTGTACACAGCACCAGTTTGGCTACACGTGGATAACGTGACATGCCTTTGTACATACTACACAGCAATAGGTCAGCTACACGTGGAGAGTGTGACATGCCTTGCTACCATGTACACAGCACCAGTTCAGCTACACGTAGATAGTGTGACATCCCTTGTACACAACACCAGTGCAGCTACAAGTGCATAGTGTGATATGCCTTGTACATTGTACACAGCACCAGTTTGGCTACACGTGGATAACGTGACATGCCTTTGTACATACTACACAGCAATAGGTCAGCTACACGTGGAGAGTGTGACATGCCTTGCTACCATGTACACAGCACCAGTTCAGCTACACGTAGATAGTGTGACATGCCTTGCTACCATGTACACAGCACCAGTTCAGCTACACGTGGAGAGTGTGACATGCCTTGCTACCATGTACACAGCACCAGTTCAGCTACACGTAGATAGTGTGACATGCCTTGCTGCCATGTTCACAACACCAGTTACAACCATCCATATGTGACAAGTTGGTTACGTATAATTACAGATATAAATTTGATTTTATGCTGATAATACTCTGAAGTATAGTTAGACAGCCTCCGTTGTCTAGTGGAAACAGCTTCTTCCTTCCTTAAGATGATAAAACCAAGCAAACAATTTTTAACTTCAAAAAGCAGACTTGCAGCTGTTTGATGAGGATTGTGAGAATATGCAGAAAATACCAAACTTAGCCAACCTGTTTATAAAATGGACTTGTTCGACATTGCCGAGGTCGGATTCTAATCGGGCAGTCATCATTGTTTATATATGGATAAATGTTTATTTTGACGTTTGTACATTGTACTTGCTCGTGGCAGAGTATAAGGGATTTATTCACCCGCTGAGAAATTATTTCCGTCCAAGGCGGGATACAGAGTATTTTATCAAGATCACGTAGACCAATCAGACCTCATCATTCTGACATGGAGGTATGATAAATACCTTTGAACCACACAACGCGTAATGATGAATATGCGTTTATTTGATCACATTGTATACACATTGTGTACAATAATTCGCAAATGCATTTCAAATACTCCAACCTCATGTTACATACGCGGCTTTAAAATGATTTCCAAGTTAAACATCCGACATTCTATGAGCAAGAGAAACTAATGTGTATTAAATTTATTATTGTTGCATTGTGGCATGGCTGGTTGGGAATGGTTTAAAGGATTTCTTGAAATGTAATATAAATGGTGTAGAAGGTACTTATTTATAACTCAATGTGGACATGATGTTACGAGGGGTGTTCATTAAAGATTGCCCCTAAACCACTTAGGGTTATCATATTTGGTTGAAATTTCACATGTGTAATGATACATGTATCTATGGGTTTTGTCTGCAGCACCGAACTATCAATCTTACCACTTTTACAGGTGTTATGATCGAGTAGGGTGTGACAATGGAGCCAGTAGAATACCGAGCAGTGATTAGGATTTTATATTTGAAAGGTCGCACACCAAAAGAAACTTTCGATGAAATGAAAGCAACTTATGGGGAAGATGCCCCATCATATGACGTTGTTAAACACTGGCATCGCCAGTTCAAGTGTGGTCAGACATCTGTGGAAACAGCTGCCATTCCTGGTCGCCCCAATTCAGCCATTGATGAGGACACTATCCATCAAGTGCAGACCGACGTATAACTGTTCGCCAGTTAGCACAAGATGTCAAGATCAGTGAAGGGGCTGTGGAAAAAAATCATCCATGACAATTTGAACATGCATAAGGTGTCTGCACGATGGATTCCCAGGTTGCTCACACCTTTCCAAAAGCAGGAACGAGTCAATTGCTCAAAGGATCTTTTGGACATGTGCCCCAAAAACCAGGCAAACTTTTTTGACAGACTTATCACACAGGATGAAACATGGGTCCATCACTATGATCCTGAGACTAAAGTTCAGTCGATGCAATGGAAGCATGTGGAGTCACCACCCCCAAAGAAGGCACGTGTCCAACCCTCTGCAGGCAAGGTCATGCTCACGGTGTTTTGGGACCAGCACGGAGAAGTGATGATGGATTTCTTGGCAAAGGGTACCACAATTACAGGAGCTTATTATGCTTCACGGCTGCGGAAATTGCGGGACGCTATGAAGCTTAAAAGGCGTGGCATGCTGACGAAGGGTGTCCGTCTCCTGCAAGACAATGCTCCAGTACACAACTCTCATGTTGCCAAGACAGAAGCGCGGTCCTGTGGCTATGAAATCCTTCCACATCCTCCTTACTCTCCTGACCTTACACCATCTGACTTCCACCTCATTCCAACCATGAAGTCATTTTTGAAGAGAAAACGTTTCACAGATGATGAAACACTGATTTCTGAAGTCAAGTCCTGGTTTGAGACGCAAAATGAGGGCTTTTACAAGCGAGGTCTCCGTAGTTGCATAAAACGATGGGAGAAGTGTGTAACTCTTGGTGGTTCCTATGTGGAGAAAGACTAATACCTATGCCAAGTTTCATTCCACAAGGTCCATCGGAAGTAGGTCAGAAGAAATCTTTAATGAACACCCCTCGTATGAAATACAAGTTATCTGTGATCTCCACCATTACAATTAACGCGATAGACTCTGTTATCTCAAATACCATATCCACAACAATATTAACATTAACTTTATCTGTCACTCGTTTGGTTCCGTGATAGACTCCGCCATATTCAGAACTTTGAGAAGTATAATAGGTGGTAGTACAACATTACATATTCATAATGTCACATCTCTCATGTTAATAAATACTTAACAGCACAAACGACCAAATGTAGAGATGGGTAGGAGTACAAAAAAGTATATACTAACGGGGAAAAAGTAACCGTGCTTCATATAAAGTTCAATAAAATTAAATTTATCATATTTTAATCAGTACATATTTATTAAGACATCTCGACTAAAAGGTCATTGTTCACAATTTGTACGTGCATGTTCACGCACGGCTGACAATGTGTACGTGCAATGTTCAGGCACGGCTCACAATTTGTACGTGCATGTTCAGGCACGGCTCACAATTTGTACGTGCATGTTCAGGCACGGCTCACAATTTGTACGTGCATGTTCAGGCACGGCTCACAATTTGGATGTCAGGTGTTTATTGGCAGCATGATACTAACAAATGTGTTTTTTGAAAGTGAACAGCAGATAATGATTGCTTAGGTATCAGGAGCTCGTAAATACACTTTTGTTTAACCGTAAATAACGCTTACGCAATGACACGGCTTGCTGAAAATCAATGTCTACGCGCCGTGTGTATGCTGCAAACAGGAATGGCACAACAGCAGGGCAACACTTATAACTTGCGACTGGCCGGTCGTCCACGTGTGTCGTCACGTCAACAAGACAACCATATTCGGATTGGGCATCTACAGAATCGATACCAAACAACCACATTTACAGCTCGGACAATTCTTGGTTGAGACCAATGAGTGGTAGAACCGTACACAACCGCTTGAGGAACCACAACATCCAGCTCCATGTCCACCAATACGCTCAATTCTGCTTAGACGTCACCGTCAGGCACGCCTAGCTCGGAGTAGACAGCATATGAGTTTTAGAAGACAAGACAGAAGTTCACAGATTTTGTCCAGGTATCATTCGGACAGCTCTGTGTGCAAATGCAGGGACGTCACATCTCGTTGCAGAAGGATAATACCCGCCCACGCGTGGCACGTTTTGTAAGAGGCTTTGTATAGAATCATAATATTGCTACACTGCCACAAGCAACCGTTTCTCCAGACCCCACGTAACGCAAACGGTCGCACCTACCCTCCTTTACTCGTCCCTATTTGCATCCAGCATAGATAAAATGTTATAAATCGCATTTCTAAACTGAAGTTTGTATGATAGTTGAAGTTATGTTACCAGATCCATGGTAATAAACCATAATTGCAGAAGAGATTTTATTCAGCAATGAATATCATCTTCTGTTTTGGTCTACCATTGAAGAGATCAGGCTCTTTCTTTGTACTGTTGCTTCCTGTTCTAAGTATATTTGCAGCTTTCTTAGCCATGGTAAATGTAGACAAAGCATCAAACCTGGCTAGGAGTTCATCCTTGTATGACATGACACTGTCCCGTCCGCTAATATCGGCGGCGTGTTCAGGGGAGGTCATTCTATACATATGACAGATATGTGCTTGTGGCTCATGTTCGTGCCCATTAGTCCCATACATCGGCTGTTTGATGTGCAGAATATCTTTGTAATCCCTTTGTTTTTCGTCGCTATGGTTACTTTGACGGGAAATTTGACCCCTTGACAACCTTGGTGGTACAGGTGATGGAACCATTGGGTCTGTAGGAGTATACCAGGGTAGAGGACGAGGTCCCATAGGAGCACCAGGAGAAATGAATGTCCTTGGAGAATCTGTTCCACGAGGAGGAATACTGATAAACTCGCTGTTGGACACATCGTTTTGATCCTTATTGGTGAGGCGTGCTTTATCGTCGTGGCCAGATAAGCGTACATGTCTCTTACGGATGTATCGTCTGCACTTGGCAGCACAATATATGGCGCTGCAACCGCCGTATATTATTATCATAACAGGCAGAACACAGAACATCGCCATATTGTTCTTATCCGCATAAAATTCATTGATTTTCGTCAAGAGGTCTTTGTCCTGGGGAGATGCAATTGTCGTCGAAGAGACTATCTCTGTCTGGAGCAGATGGCGTTTTCTAATAACATCATTTCGAATGTCGAATTCGTAATTGAAGCCGGGATTTTTTCGTCTGAGGACGGTATTCTGCAGTTCGTCCGCTGCAAGTAAAAAAGACAGAGTGCAGACAGAAAGCTGTCAGTGTGTTGTGCCATTTCGTGTGCATATTCACATGACCATTTTAGGAGCTGGCATTAAAAAAAATTCCTTGCTGAACTGTTTCTTTGAGCATACAAGTTGGTATTTCTTCCCGGATTAGCAAAATCAAAACCAAACTTTGGTCAAGAAGTCTATCTGGAGCTTCAGATATATCGATGATCTGATATCGTTCAATAATGGCCTAATAGCCAGTTCCCTCGACTGATTTACACATCTGAACTACGAATGAAAGAGATCTGTAAAGCATATTTAGATCTATGCATAAAGATTAACTTGCTAGTAGCCAACTTTCCCTTTATGACTAAGCAACTACAGCTGTTGGTGTGTTCATTTCACAAGTGCAATTAAGCATGCACTTTCTACGAATATTTAAAAGAACGTAATTCGACTCTTGCGCAAAATTTGTTTAATCAGGTATTACAATATTCAAGGGCTTCTATAAATCTTTCAAAAAGGTTTATGGTTGATATGTTTGACGTATCAGAGACCAAAATGATGTCCGATGCAATTCCTTATTTCGACTTGTACGTTATATGTTCCTGTGTTTTCTGAGGTGAACTGACTTGTTTTTGCATTTGTTTGTGACGGGTGCCACCGGTGGGGCAGGGTACGCTAACTATTTCGCGAACACCTGGTATCATTACATTTTGAGATTGATTAATAGACACATGTTCGTGGTATAGTCGGAATCATACAATGGCCTTCTATTTAGCCTTTAACACAACACGTGTGTATATTTCGTACAGTTTTCTAGCATACAACCTTCTGGATAAGTAGTAGTAGTAGTACTAGCAGTAGTAGTATCATTATCATAATTATTATTATCATTATTATTATTTTTATTATTATTATAGATAATACAGTATTCTAGCATACAACCTTCTGGATAGGGTGTATGTGCGGGAACAGCAGCAGCAGCAGCAGCAGTAGTAGTAGTAGCTGTAGCTGTTGTTGTTGTTGTTGTTGTTGCTGCTGCTTTTGTTATTTATAGATTAAAATAAAAAATGCAGCAAAGAGGGTTTGGGTGATCCTGGCACAGTCAGGCTTCTTAGGCTCATCATCAGCTCAGGACCCTTGCCCCCTCCACACGCAGCCCAGACTGGGACTTCTCCCAGGAAGCGATGCCTATTCGAACCCCCCAGAACTTTTCGGAGAATGTGAAGACTGCCAAACACTGCAGCCGTCTGCATTACCCAGATTGTCAGAAGGGCTGTATTCCTTGCATCAAACCCGGGTTCTCTCCCAATGTCAGTCAACAAATTGGGAGGTACCGAACCTAAGGCACCAAGAACAATATTGCCATATTGCATATTTTGCCATGTTTTTCCTGAATCTTGTCAAACACATTAGTGTCAAAAGGCACAGAAAATTCAATGATATAAATGATTTCATTCGATTTATCAAAAAGGACAAGATCGGGTTTGTTGGCCTGGATTATTATTATTGTTATCTTTGAAAATTTGATGCTGTGGTTTTACTATTTTTCACTGATTTGCCAGTTTAAATCATAATTCTCCCAAGGATAGTGTTAGGATCAATATTCCAATTTGTAATTATTAAAAGTGATACAGATAAACATTCCACTTCACTTTATTCGTGATTAGACGTGCCCAGTACACTTATGATGATATGACTTCCGATCGATTTTGCTCGACAGTGATTGAGGAATAGTCAATAATTCTAGTGTCATCGAATGTGCATCCCTATCAATCATCACACCCTTACCTTTCTAGCAAAGTTTTAAAATTTATCGGTGAAAAAACCCGATTTGTAACAATTTTAGAGCATTCCCTTCAGGTTTCTGTCCAACGATTGATTGGTCGTGTATACGTTAAGTTTTCAACAGTTCCGCCTAAGTGTTTGTGATAAAAAAAAGAAGCTTACTGACAGAATAGAATAAGACCATTAATGTTTTGTGAAAGGGGTATGGTAACATGCACCTCGCCCAGAAAACCTGTACAGTTTCTGGTGACGCCTTCATAGTTTTATTTATAGTTTTGCAAGAAACATACACCCACGACCTACCCTGAGAAAGAGTAGCAATCCCTCGATACAAGTACGATAGAGGGAAAGTACATATGTCAGCTAGTCAATAATCATTTGAAGTATTTCCACTGGCACTGTCAGGGCTGGTAAGGAGAAACCGACTGAGTGTTGGACTGACAGTTTAGATCCGACACTAGATGAACATTGTTACCAAGTATGACGTCAAAGCTATGGTACCGATATAAAAAAAGATTCAGTGAAGTCCTAAAACTGTCCTTATAAATACTTTATGTTCATACTTCCAGAGCCGAGAAAAGGACGAGCGTGGCATATGACTACCAAACGGTAGGCTCAGTACTTATCTTCATTTCGTCACATGAAAGGTCAGTATTGCCCTTCGCCTTTCTGGTTAAATGAAATAAAAAATAATGTGATTGGAATGTTAGCAGAATGAATCCGTGGCAAATATACTGGTATTGAGAGTAGTAAGTGCTAAATACTAGTATATAGCTTCTATACAAGTTTTTATACTTCAGCAAATTGATAGAGAATGAGTCTTAGGTTTTCCAGTTGACATGACTTACCCACTATCACTCCCATCCTTGTCAGAATCAAAACAACGAGCAGGGGGTAAGTACTGTGTTTCTCCATGTCCGCCCCTGTGAACGTGCTCGACCGGTCTACACCCACTTCACTCTACGTATGCTTTGTGGTGAGTTCGATAAGTTTATATTGGTCTCATTACGAACGCTGCGTTTTGGCGATTGACTCCAATAAATGCTGAGTTTCTGATCATGATGCAGGTTTATTCTGTTCAGCATGTTCCCAATACCATCAAGTTCCTCTGCTTATACTATCATTACTGGCGTGGTAGTAGTTTTACACCACGTTTTGTTATATTCTGGCTTATTTCCCCATTTCATGCTAATAATGATGTCAATTAAAATTAGATCAGAAAATAAGAAAGCACTTCGAAACTAAGCTTATATGCTGCAAGTATGTTTAATTTTATTATATTGGCCACAAAATATGACTGAATTAATTCTTTATTTCAGTATAAAGGCAAAAGGCCCACGTACAAATACTCATTGAAAAATGATGACGGTGCTATTTGTCACGATTTAAGTTATAGAGGAGCCAAGACAAAACCCGATCAGCCATGCTGCTCTTGGTTGTACTTCGTTTTATTAACTACCATCGTTATCACCTCTAATAAAAGCAATATCACTATATGGTTATGATTATGATATGCATGTGGTTGTTTATGTCACGGTTTCTATATATATTTGATTTGTACATTGTATATGCCGAAAATTGAGCGAGTTGGGTTACGCTACTTCAGCAATATTCCAGCAATATCAGCAGAGGTGCACCAGAAGTGGTCTTCACACCTTGTACCCATGGGTCGAATCGAATCCAGGCATTCGGCATGACGAGCGTTAAGCGTACGCTTTACCGCCAGGATATGTCAATATTATGTAAATGGCAACATCATGAAGCATGTGTCAATATCGTGAAGAAATAAAAAAACGTGTGGTTTTATTTTTGGGTTTTTTTTGTAGCTAGGCAGCAAGAACGGCCGCAATTGTAACTGTTGACAGTTCGCCATAACACTCCTAACTAGGATCGGCAAAATAAATCAAGTGTCATTGGCAGAGATTTTAACATTGTATTGATCACGGTCGATGTCATGGGCCGTTGCCTAGTTATGACCGACGTTGTCAGTTGATATTAACCTTTATAGGAATCAATTTCTACCGATTCCAATCAGTCTATTGTGTTTACACGCAATGCAGCAGTTCTTTCACAGTAAAACGAACATCAAAAGTGTGAAACGAATTTGTCACTTAGTTTTCACTGATTGAGCGTGAAGCTGATTGAGATTAAAGTAAATCAACATAGATGATGAAAACGTTTCCATCTACTCACCTCTTTGTAAAAACAGAATGATATATACTGGCATTACCTTTTATTTACATTTGTCGATGTTCATATTTTCAATTGAGCTGTTTAGACCATAAAGACAAACAGCTCGAGCAGTCTCAGTACGTTAGTTGTGAAATATATATTTTAGTGATGTATGGATATGAAGAATTCAAGTAAATAAAACAATTGTCAGACAAATAGACAGTTATATATTTTATGACCTCCCTGTGCCTCCACGCATGCACTTTGGCGACTCGGGTTACAAAATGCGTGTCCAAAGTATTCAAATCAAACTGTACCAGCTTGAACACATTATCACCACCAGGTATCTAACTTATGATGATGGGCCAATAATGAGGAAGCATAATCCTTCTCAAGAAAAGAGTATGTTTTTCTATCTATTCGGGTTTTCATTTTTACGTAAAGCTATCAAATATGGAATAGAATATCACACGGTACTGCCGATCCAGCATTACTGTATCCGTGACTAATATGAACAAATCTAAGATATGCTCAGAAGAGAGAAATGTGGATGCTATGTGTCCAGTATGCACAACTAAAGACCTTTTAGCAGACGTATGTAGTTCACATTCTCTATATTACTAACTTCGTTTGTTATAAGACGACCACGCCCTGGAATACCGCCGAAAAGGGTTCCAGATACGTGCTGGTCGCTGTTTGTCCAGTACTTGGTCGTCCCGATGAGCATTTCAAGGAGCTTTGTGTGGCAATTCGATTCATATTTCGTCTATATCTGCAGCTTTTTGCACACGTTCGATATTGTAAATGGTAACCCTTGGCCTCTTTCCACAAACTGGTCTCAGCAATACAACTATATAAAGCTATGCAAACGTTGAAGTATGGATATGACGCTGAGATCACTTTGTTGAAGGGGGTTCTCGGCCATATTCATAAAGATCTGTTAATTTTCTTGAGATAATCTTTATATTAATCTTTAAAAGCTATCTGACAGAGTGAATCACGGTCAGACTGCCCTAACCCCATTTGCGGCACATGTAAGGTCGGTATCAATCTGCTTCGTCTAACTTTAAAAGCAGGTAAACAGTAGCAATTAGACAACCCAGGTATAATCAGAGATGAGAAACTTTGCTGGTTACACAAGGTAGGCATGTTCATCAAACCATTTTAGTGTTAACAAAGGTGCAGAGAAAGACATTTATATTTGAATGCATTATTTATTTATCTGTGGATACAGTATACGACAGGAAAACCAAAGAAACGTGGTGACGGATAAAATGTTCCATCGGCATATATAATGACTGCATCACAGAAGTGTTCAAGGTTAGATCATGTGACGAAAACCAGGATTCGCTTGTCATTCCCTTTGTTGGGAATTGTATCAACTGCTTATATATTCAAAACAAGTGCGCTACACTTGCAAAACTCAAAACTCCACTCCAAATCTTGGCTATGTCCGTCCATACTCCAACTATACTTCGCGTATTTATTTACTTAATTTAATTACAGTTCTTAACTGAAAACAAATGTCAAAATGTGTTTGAATCTATTATCTGGTTTTAATATCTGTATTTCTAACTACTTAGTTAACTTTCATTTTCAAATTAAAAAACCCTTCAATTAATCTTATCCCGTTACTAAGTATTTAAAGAAAGTCACTGCTACTAATCTCAATATTGTAACACTACCTCAAGTTGTCCCAACCCGAACACCCCTATGCCCATTGAAAGTCTCTCCCAAACAGATTATACTGGTCAGTGACCACACGGATGACACTGAGCCATGGAGAAACTCTCATGCATGGTTAGACAATCCAGGCTTAGTAAAGCTCTAAACAAATGACGACCAGGGTTGTAATCGTATGGTCAGCCTTCAGCATCCCGCATCTCGTACACAATGTCATGCTTCAGTGGCCAACCGACCATTGCCTAACTCTAATTATGGGCAGCTAACCCATTCATGACGCTATGCTGTTGGCAATGGTAATAATAATCAAGCTCCTGTTATCTGATTTGTATTGACTACACTGTGAACATTTAGATAGATATATTTCAGTTTCTTTACTCAAGGTATATAAAAGACATGTATAACATCCCTGTTGGAACCAGTGTCCCGCCAAAGTGCCTGTGATACCTGCTTGTCCTGACTCTCTTCGTGGTAACAGAAACTCTGCTAGTCGGCACACAAAAGTATTTGCAAAAAGTCTCTGTGAATTCGAGTTTTACCAGCTGAACTTCCGTTAATCCTGTCGACTTTTTGTCAGAGTGAGTGAGTGAGTTGGGTTTAACGCCGCTTTTAACAGTATTCCAGTTATATCGCGGCGTGTCAGCTTAATGTGGGAGGACAGCCCGAAGTGATACGAGTCTCAGACGTTTACCACTTCGGTGAAACCCATGACCACGGGTATGGTGCTGACAAACCTAGAAACATAATCGGGGCGAACCGGGATTCGAACCCACAATCATAGGTTTCTGGCGTGTCCAAGGGACACAGGGAATCGCGGCGCCTTAGACGACTGGGCCACCCGAACCCCCTTTTGTCAGACAGTTGACAAGTCAGTTTAATTTGTAAAATCCCGCTAATGTCAAATAAGGTTCATATTGCACACATAGAGTCAGCTTTCTTATTCTTTATCTTTGGAAAAGACGTACTATCAATTGAAATTTGGTTCCTAGAAAAGCCAGAAAGTATGTTGAGTTTATAAGACATATAGGCAAATGCATCGAAACATCCCAAGACATCCTTAGGTGATATTTATATATACTCAACAACAAAAGTTCCTGTGACACCAATATTCTAGTGTATTTTTCAAACAAGTAAAGTTTCGTTTTCAATATTGTAGAACATGTATGGAATCAAGTCACAAAAACGCAACTGCTACAGAAAAGCATGCATTCCATGCAAAAGTTGACTTTTATGCAAGCCCCATGCATTTCACAACCCAAGAATGGGTATAAAAATATATGCGTTAACGGGATTCCATATGCATTGTTTAGCATCGTGCTGACAACAACCACTCAGAAAAACAACAAAATTACGCTATATTCAACATTACGAAATGCCACGCGTGTCCGAAAATGAGCGTCTGCGAGCCATTGGTATGCTTGAAGCAGGATCGAGTCAACGTGATGTTGCAAGACTATTTAACGTCCACAGAAACACCTTTTGGTGTTTATGGCAAAGTTGGCAATAGACGAATGCAGTCAGAGACCATCCTTGGAGTGGCAGGCCACGCGTAACCAATAATCGACAAGACAACTGAATTCGAACAACACACCTACGAAATTGATTCCAGCCAGCAACAGTGACTGCAAGAAGCATCCCTGGCTTTATCTTCACGAACCGTACGTCGTCGCCTCAGATGTGCAGGGATTGTCGCCAGGAGACCCGCCAGACGTCCCATTTTGACAGGAAACCAGTCAAGCACGTCTACATGGACGGCCATGCAGTGGGGACAAGTTCTATTCACTGAGTCTCGTTTTCACCTCAGCCAAAGCGATGGACGGATTCGAGTGTACCGACGTCGAGGTGAACGTTACGTCAGCATTGTGTCATGGAAGAAGATCGGTTCGGGGGCGGCAGCGTTTTGGTATGGGGTGGGATTACAGCAAGACAGAGGACGCGTTTAATAGTGGTAGAGGGAAATCTCAGTGGACAGCGCCACCGCGACGAGATCATTGGCCCTGTTGTTCTACCGTTTTTGCGTCGTCATGGCCCAGGTATTACCTTTCAACATGACAAGGGGCGGTCGGGTCGCCTAGTGGTTAAAGCGTTCGCTCGTCACGCCGAAGACCCGGGTTCGATTCCCGACATGGGTACAATGTGTGAAGCCCATTTCTGGTGTCCCCCGCCGTGATATTGCTGGAATATTGCTAAAACCATACTCACTCACTCACTCACTCAACATGACAACGCCCGGCCTCATATTGCTCGACTTGTTGAGGATTCTCTTCAACAAAACAACGTGAATGTCATCCCCTGGCCGGCTCGCTCCCCTTATCTCTCACCAATCGAGCACATGTTGGATGAGATTGATCGGCGCCTTCGACGTCAACCACGTGTTCCACAGACACTCCAGGAACTTCGAAACATGCTCCAGCAGATATGGACATATATCCCACAGGACTTTGTGCGACGCCTGGTCCATTCCATGAGACGAAGAGGTGGACACACACGCTATTGATTTGTAAATTCACATTTTGGCACGTTCATGTTTTTTTATGAAATCACACAGCTTCTGAAGTCAGTATGGCAAATTAAACCGTTTGAACACTTACAGTAGTCTTTTATCTGTTGCAAACCGAAATTGATTCAGATTTGGTAAAAAACATAACTTTGCATTAAATCTTATTCAATGTCACAGGAACTTTTGTTGTTCAGTATATATATAAGCTACGTCAAGGTATTAATGCTACAGACGTCACACAATACATTGGCGTTATGAAAGGGAGCTGAACTGGTCATTTGTTGCCGTGATACAAGGCTGTCAACAGTGAAAGAACTACCTGAAATCATAAACAGGCCATTGTCTGTAAATTATACGGCTACAAGTGCGTATTGGCCTTGTTTGATCACTGATCAATATCACTCTCCGTTTATACGGGCGGCCTGTAACTATCTGCCAATAGTGCTTCCCCCCCCCCCCCCCCCACACACACACACACAATGATGCCTTATTGACAAGCTGCCGCAACGGTGTTGCTGATTTATCACAGGGGTTAATTGCAATAAGTCAAGTATAGTTTGCATAGCTCACTAGTAGAATGACCTGCAGTGTTCATAATGATTTGTTTTGCAAGTTAACTTGTCGCTCATATTAAACGCAAAGAGTGAGATAGGATAAGGTTATGCAAGGGTTACAAATAGGAAATCAACAAAAGGGGTAACTGGAATATATGTTATCACAGTAGCATTGGCATTTGTCATAAAAATACTATGGTTTGTCATACAAACTATATGGAAAAGAAACTCGGTAAGGCCAACATCACCTGCAACAGTAGTTGTGTAGAGCAGGAATGACCCCACCCCATGATATTGAAATAACATCCCTTTCTAAATGTCATAGTTAGTAGTTGTGGGCATCGGTCTGGAACCGCTCCTGGCTTCTGATTGGTCGAGAGGGTCACGTGACCTCTGTGACGTCACTACCGGTTACGTGACCTGCGCAGGGCATGGTGGGCCCTGCGTGCGCATTCAAGATGGCGACACATCCGTTTCCGGTGGCGTGCGCATCCAAGATGGCGGCACATCCATTTCCGGTGGTGCGCGCATCCAAGAGGGCGTCACATCCGTTTCCGGTGGCGCGCGCACCTCCAAGAGGGCGTCGCATCCGTTTCGGGGGAGGAGGGAGGAGGAAAAACCCAGAGAAGCGGTCGTAAAAGGTGAACAAGATCGACATTGTTGTTCTTTTGTTGTTCTAAAAATAGACGTGGTAGAGGGTGGGAGGGTGGTGGTGAAGGGAGGGAGGGAGGGAGGGAGGAGGAGGAGGCGGGTTCTTTGTTTGGGTTTGAGGGTCGTCAAAGCAAAGGATGAAAGCGTTCTTTCGGGAGAGATGGGTGGCCCTGAAAAGGGCCGTTTTGAGGAAGATCACTTCTTTACATACATGTACACGCAGTGGTGCAAAGGCACGTGTGGCTTGACACCTGTCTCCTGACAGGACACTTACTGGTGTGCGTTAAACGCTTCACGTAGGTGTCCTTCAGGACAGTGTTTCAATAGATGCACTGGAAAGTGCCATCCCGTGCCCTTGTGCCAAGGGCATATACTGGCATGCACCCTTGGCACCTGCCGCATTGCCATGGAGGTAGCGATTGCAATGCTACTGCTTCTTTCTTCTTCAACTCCGAGTGGTACCCTTTGCACAGTGGCAAAGGGTGTGTCACTGAAATGATCTCCAAATCCCAGTTTTCTGATTTATTTTCCATGCTGCTGCTGATGATGATGATTATTTTCTTTCTTTTTTACAAGTGACACTGATCCACTCGAATGGTTGTTCTCTTGTTTTATAGGAGAGGTACTGATACCCTGCTTCCTGATTGGTTCGCCAGGCAGCAGCTCCGGTTGGTTCATTCCGGTGCCTGGCCTGCACCTCGGTTTTCCAAAACGGACCGACCCCTGTGTTTCTTTTCCATAGGAAATGGATTTTACCATGGGAGAGAAAGCACAACACCGGTTCGACCAATCAGAACCCACCATGGTCAGAGCGTGGCCTCTGATTGGTCGACAAGCCAGGCTTCTGATTGGTCAGATTTCGATCCGGGTTTTTTTTCTTGGGTAGCCTTGGTATTTTTTAGGTAGACGGTCGTCTGAATGCTAAAGGTGGACCGTCATAGGTAGGTATGAACGTGATGTGGAAATGCCTACGTGATGTACGTTGTGTCACCCCCCATGCAAATCGTAATGTCATGTGTATGTGTCTTCAAACAGACGTTGACGTTGATCCATAGAATTATTATGTCATGCCTACGTGATGTACGTCATGTTGCAAGGCCCACGTGGTGTTTCACGCGTGTCTTTATGCAAAACGTGGTGTCATGTGTGTGTGTGTGACTACAAACATTTATTTAGTATTTAGATGGATAGAGAAAGATCGATAGACATACTTAGTGTTTCACCTGTGTCTTCATGCAAACGTAGTGTCATGTGCGGTGTGACACTCTGCCAATTATTAGTATTTAATTATACCGAGGTGTTGACCGAGGTGTCTACAGACGTACTGTTACACGTGTTTTCATGCACACGTGATGTTTGACTCGTGTCTCCATGCAAACGTGGTGTACTACGTGTCTTTATTTATATATTTATATATATATTTATTTTAGTTTGAGACGTACAGTGGTGGTGTCACGCGTAGGCGTGTGTCTCCAAGAGGCCTAGGGGGAGGGTGTGGGTTCTTTGTTTTGGATTGTTGTTGTTGTTTGGGTTGGCAAAGCAAAGGATGAAAGTTGTCTTTTGGGTGAGATGGGTGGCCCTGAAAAGGGTCGTTTTGGGGAAGAAAAACTTTTCTGGTGCTGTCAAAGAAGAAACATCATGTCCAATCTTATTGCAAGACAAGAATCGTCGAAGCGGTACTTGCTGCCATCTGGGTATGTCATCTGGGTGCCCTACGTGGCACCACTTATGGGTCCAACAAAGAAAAAAAGCTTGTTGGTAACAGGAACTTGAACGGGAACTTGAACGGGAACTTAAACAGGAACGCAAGACACAGTAACCGCCCTCCTAGGCAGCCGGTCATGCTACGCCATTCGTGTTCTTCTGATTCACATTCTCCTCGCAGAGATAGTGTAGTTGTAGCTTCTTCTTGTGTTTCACCAGACCGGTAAGCTTGAGGTAGTCGCAGTGTGGGGACCACTTGTGATGTGCCACCCAAGGATCGTCGTGGGACGCCCATTGTCTCAGCCGCACACCACATTGGAAACAGCACACACCATTGGCACCCTGAGTGTAGACAAAGCCCGCATGAGCCATCTCTTCAGCAGTCTGATACATTTGCGTCGGCCACGCCTCAAACGAAGCGAGCCTTCTTTCAAAGCGTAGATAATAGGACGATGGCGTGTGACTGAAAAGGCGAGAGAAGAAGAAGCGAGAAATCACACACTCTTTATGGACGACACATGGCGACTCAGTGACATTCTGGAGGGACCTTTTCCTTCTTACACCTTGTGTCATCCTTCTCATCCTAACTATGATTCATTTCAAGAACGTCTGAGGTCTTTTCAAACGTGACCTAAACAGATGAACCAGACCCCTTATGACATGGCCATGGCTGGCTATTTCTATCCAGGACGAGGTGACCGTGTTATCTGTTATTTGCTGCGGTGTGACACTCTGCCAATGGGAAGCCACAGACAAACCCTGGAAAGAACATCTGAAGCACGCCAAAGTCCCCTGCGAATACTTGTGTGTGTTTTGTCCTGATGGAGAAGTGAACGAAAAATACAGACGTTTGTTGTCCCAAGAAACACGGAAGAGCAGAGTCGAGTGTCTTGTTCACCCCAAGTGACAAAGTTTCTTTTTTTTCAAAGTGTACAGACGTTCATACCCTCGTGGTCACCCTCGTTGTCACCGTCGTGTTCACAAAAATCATAGGGACGCTCCCCTCATCCTGTGACTTTTGTTTTGTTGTGTTGGTTCATGTGAGCGGGGGATTAAATAAAGTTGAACAAATAGTAGTGTTATGTTGTCTGTAGGATGACGGAAAAACAAAACAGGATCGAAATGCACTCCCAGATAAAAACCGGATCGAAATCTGACCATACAGAGGCTTGGGTTTTCGGCCAACCAGAGACCACGCTCGGATCATGCTGGACTCTGAATGGTCGAACCGGGGTTGTGCTTTCTCTCTAAAATCCATTTCCTATGGAAAAGAAACACAGGGGTCGGTCCGTTTTGGAAAACCGAGGTGCAGGCCAGGCACCGGAACGAACCAATCGGGGGGCGGTGCCTGGGGAACCAATCAGGAAGCAGGGTGTCAGTGGCTCTCCTATAAAAACAAGAGCAAACATACACACACACACACACACACACACACACACACACACTGCATTCTATGAAACCAACCATGCCACCTCAATACAGTTCTATGAAGTGCCAGACCGACAGTCACAGTTACCTGTTCTGCCCTGAAGTGACATGTACCGAGTGCCACGCTCAAGGTCACCGTTACTATGTCTGTCCGAAGATAAGCAGACAAGATAAGCAGAAGACTTCCCCGTACTTCTGTTACAACTGTCAAGTCATGGGTCATTTCGCTGCAGATTGCCCAGAACCCAGTCGAAAGAAAACGTCAGCAGTCCCGTCCACGTCGACACCCGTGACACCCGTGACACCAGTGACACAAGTTCTTTATCTCATAGAAGCCATGCATGTCGATATCCTCGACCTAAACGAATGCATCACACAACTAACTCCGTGTGGGCATCACACCTCGTCTAGAGAAAAGAAAACGGGACAGAAGCCCCTCAAGAAAACACTCTTCAAAAGCGCCGACGACACCTTCAGTCCGAGGATGAGATGGAGGTAGAGGATGAAGAAGATAGATCATCTGAACAAATTGACTAACGCATGGAGCATGCTGCTCCACTGATTTGTCCAGTTTCCCATCGTTTCCAGTTTTTCCAGTGTTCCAGTGTTCCAGTGTTCCTATCGTTTCCTGCCGTTTCCAGTTTCCAGTTTGTTTTCCAACGGCCCTTTTCAGGGCCACCTATCTCTCCCGAAAGAACGCTTTCATCCTTTGCTTTGACGACCCTCAAACCCAAATAAAGAACCCGTCTCCTCTCCCTCCCTCCCTCCCTCCCTCCCTTCACTGCCACCGCCTTTTTTCTTTTTTTAGAACAACAAAAGAACAACAATGTCGATCTTGTTCACCTTTACGACCGCTTCTCTGCGTTTTCCCCCTCCCTCCGCATGCCACCGGAAACGGATGTGCAGCCATCTTGGATGCGCACGCAGGACCCACCATGCCCATCGCAGGTCACGTGACCGGAAGTGACGTCACAGAGGTCACGTGACCCTCTCGACCAATCAGAAGCCAGGAGCGGTTCCAGACCGATGCCCACAATTACTATAGTTGTTATGTGCACTTTACGTGATTAAACGAGAGAGCAGTTAGTTGAGTAAGAAAATTGTGCATCACGATTAAAAGATGGATTTTTAACGATTTCGGGTTACATTTGTGACTTTTTGGGGAGATATTTATGTATTTTAGCTTTTAGCCTTTGTATGAAAGAGATAATAATACCACCACTCTAAAGATGCAGTCGGCCTTATAGAATATCCAGAAAAAAATCATTGGATCCAAGTTCTGTACAGCAATGCCATGTAATGACAAAATAAAATACGTTGGCAGATTTTCTAAACAAAGCACTCCCAACATCAATGTATTGAGTCTGTTTCCGCTATCCCAAAGACATCGACACTGCCATGGTTATAGAAAGGACGAAGGACAAATGATGCCATTCATCTGGAATATTTGTTGCCTCTCCTTCGGGAACCATTAGGACTACACAAAGTAAAAACAAGAGTATACGCTATGTCATTGAAAGAAATCAAACGACTCCACCAACGTTTGCTCATGGTGGTGAGAATCTGTGAGAATCCACAATATCGACTAGAGAGTACAGTTCTTGATATCGATTTGAAACTTTTGGCCACACCAGAAACAGGCTCCGCTAAATCAAATAATGACCGCATGTCCTTGAATTTGAAATTTGCAAACGAGAGATTCGATACCTTAATTTAAACAAAAATCAGTTTCTTACAATGTGCTACAATATTTTAAATTTCAGGGACCTCCAACAATTTCATTTTCCTGTATGAACACAATATCATCCAGGTTGTTCAATTATAGGAAAGTGTTGCAGAACGTGGACTTGGCAGCTCGTGATGTAAATTATATTACTTGTGGCTGCCAAGACTCATCACACTGCTACCAACCTGCGTTCATATAATCACAAATGACTTCTCTATTTTGACAACAACAACCTTTATCAGTTATTCACAATACCGTAGGCAGCCTCCTACCAATACGGATCACAACTTTAAAATCATTATGGATGCTGTCGAAGCATAGCCTATTGTCACTCCAATACCCTCACCTTGGTTAGAGAGGGAGAAATGAGCACCGAGGGCTGATCACTAAAATAAGTCTCTTGGACAAATAAGAATAAACGCTTGAATACAATTATAACATTATATAGACTCAAGTCGCATGGACTGAGCAAGGACATTCTGGACTTCTAGATTATACAGGTACTTGGCCAACATAGTATCTGGACAACATGTGGTTGGTACAAACTGGCTTCTAACTTAGCAATGACGCGTTGCAGGTGTCACGGGTGTGTGTACCAAAACGTGGCGAGCGAGAAGTGGTCAGTTTCCCAACCTCGTGGGACTCAGCCATGTTGGACAGTAATGCCATGTTGGACAGTAGTATTATAGAAATTTAATATAAGCAGTAATTGTAGTTAGAATATATTTAGTAAACCGTGTCAGTCATAAGTGTTACTTATTTTCGTTATATCACGACATATCTTCAAACTCCCCTTCATTCTATTTCTCTTATGCTTATTAATCAGAATTTCTGCTCAGATTGGCAAAATCAAAACAAGGTAATTTGGCCAAGAACTTGAACTTAAGCTTCAGATATATCGATGATCAGTAACCATCAAATAGCATGTTCCCTTCCACTGATGTACCCATCTGAACCAGAATTCAAGGAGACCCGTGAGGCCAATTCAACTGTTTCATATGCATAATGATTCCGAGTGACAAAACACTCTCCACAAAACAGTATCACACGAGGGATGACTTCAACTTTCCAGTAGTCAACTTTCCCTTTATGTCGAGCAATATTCCTTCAGCTCCAAGCCTTGGTGTCTACATTTCACAACTTTGAGGTACGAGGTTAACATCTGTTGTTTCAAAATGCGCCGAAGCCGTATATGCTGGACATTAATGAGCGCCGTGCTTGTATTCATTTCGGAAAGTCCTTTGACACTTTGGAGGCATACGATGCTTTGTATCAATTTCTTCAAAAGCCTCTCCTCGATGTTATTTCGTTACGTCGGATGAAACAGTGGCATGTTAAAAAGTGTGTGTGTGTGTGTGTGTGTGTGTGTGTGTGTGTGTGTGTGTGTGTGTGTGAGCTCGCGTGTGCATGTGTGTGCGTGCGTGTGTGTTTGCGTGCGTGAGTGTGTGTGTGTGCGTGCGTGCGTGCGAGTGTGTGTGTGTGCGTGTGTGTGCGTGTGCGTGTGCATGATTGAATGTACTAGACACAAAACCCTGACAAAGCAATTATTTGGCATTTCGCTTGTACTGTTAGCATGCAAGAATGCACAAAGTCGAAAGCATTTTGTGCAGCACATAATGTTCCATTTCCATCAATAGAACAAGTGCAACAAAGGGTACCTTTCACACTGCTTTGAACACCCATCTGTTTTTAACAACATTGAAACGTTCTTGACTGTTTGCAAATTATACATTTTTAAACAAGACATTAAAAACAGATGAAGATAACTGACAAGACGAGTCGAAGGTGGTTTTCGGATATAAGTAATTTCCTAATGAATATCTCAGACATATTCAGTTAAGTGTAGCAAATTAGACATGGTCTTTCCAATGCTTGAAATGCCACTATTAAGACTATTTGTTATGACTGAAAAATATTATCTTCTTTCAATGGACAGCCTAAACAAACAATAGACACATTTTATATGAATTAAAGACAATAACATTATGATGGATTATCCCAACTACCATGTCTGGGGATATATAAAGTAGTTCTAAACACACCAACAACATAGTGAAACCATGTTAATACTCGAACCCCGTGGGGATTCCGTAGTAACCCATGCTTGTCGTAAAAGTCGTCTCAATGGATAGGGTGGTCAGACTCGGTAACTTGGTAGATTGAGTACCATCGTAGTCACCTCGTAAGCTCGTTGCTTGCAATATCAGTAACTGGTTTGCCTGGTGATGTCTCCATTATGTACGAGCAGCCGCCATATAACAACAAATGCGCTTCAAAACTCGTTCAACCAGAAATGGGCTTCACACGTTGTACAAATATCGGTAATCGAACCCGGGTCTTGGGCGTGACCACTGGGCTACCCGACCGCCCCTATCAAAGTCTAAGGTGTTAAAAAAAAACTAATTACAATTCCAATTAT